AGGGTAATGTCTTCGACTAGATACGATTTGTGATCTTTTGACGTATCATTGAAAGAAATCCGTTCGGTGAGAGCTGAGAAAAAGTGGTAACAGACACAGAAAAAAAAAAAAAAAAAAAAACACATCTTAGTAAAACCAATACCTTCTCAGCTTCGCATCGAAGCTAAAAAGAACTAATTTTCAGATTAAAGTATTTTAAATAATCAAGCTACTCTAAACAAAAATTGTTTCAATTTTAACTAGTTTTTGTTTTACTATTTTATTTAACCATTTAATAATAAAAAGGCTGGCCATTCATAATAGAACATTAACTATAACTTAGAATTGTAAAAAAAAAAATATATGTATTTATTTTTTTTAACAGAAAAGCAGTTCAAATTGATTAAATCAATGTTTCATATTTTAAGAACCAAAAAATTTATAAATAGTCAATTTAAAAGCTAAAAATAGTAGAAAATATCTTACAGTAGTAAATTAGCTATTACAGAAGATGAAAGTCTTGGATCAGAAAATGTAGTTGTACGATTATTATGATCCACATAGTAATAACGACCACTTGATGTTTGACGTACTTCCCAACCTGAAGGTAATGGTCCAAGTTGTTGTCCAGGCATAACACTGATATTCCTTGGAATTCTAGGATCATGCCAGGTACTTAAACCAGTTGGTGTATGATAAAAATATATTTGCCCTTGTGGAGTTGTTCGAATTTCTAAATAAATAAATAAAAACTACATTTAAATATACAAAAGTTTTTAATCATTCTTAATAAGGCAAAAATTTACATCTTAAGTTAATAATAATTTTACCATCAGTTAACACAATATTTCTCAATAATGTCAAAAATTATTCCCAACTATTAAGTCAAAATTTATTATTATTATTATAAATAAATGGTATTAGACAATCCGGGGAAAGTACTGTTTTATAATTAGTTTCCTCTGTTGTTTTAGAACACTATACAAAAATAAAAAAAAAGGTCATGGCTAATAAATTGTATGAAATTTTTTAATATCTTATGTTATGAGCAGGTTAAAAGTTGAATTAAACATAGAAAATTTAAACCGTTATAAAAAAAGTTTAATCAGTTCCAGAAAAAAATTCTTTTTGCTTAAAATTGTTAACCGATATCAGTATAAGGGCTATCAGTTTTGTAAAAATAAATTCTCAATTACTATTTTTTTTTTTCTAAAAAAAAAGTAAAATAAACTTTAACCACTCAAAATCAGTGATGGTTTTTTCAGTAACTAGTCCTATGTAAAAATTGGTTAATAATAAAATAAAATTTTAAAGTACTCATTTTTACACCCAAAAATAGTCTTCTATTCAAAAAATAATTTTTTACTACCCTTTTTCCTAGTATATATTTAACCCATAACTATTGTTATTATGAGGATTGACAAAATATTTTACAGTTGTAGTAACAACAACAGTAATACAACTAGGCTTTTATTCTTAGGAGGTCTACATTAAAAAATCTTTCTGTATTTCCTTAAACAAAAAAAAATTGTAACCTTATAATTATAACCTTTCTAAAATTATATAACTTAAAATTCGAACACACAATAAAACTCAAAATTAATATGAATATTTAAATAATAAATTTGTAAACCTTTAAAGACTGTATTTTTGCCTACATGCCAAAGTGCTCCAATGTATAAAATTACTAAGTAATATAATATGTTTAACCATCTCATAATACCTTCTTAGATATAATGTATGAGTATCTAATAGATATAGCAAGTATTTTTAGTTATTTGGTACGACAAATTACTAAGTTATTTTAGTCAAACTTATAAAATATAACCTAATATATTTAAGTAGTCATGAAAGAATAAAGGTAATACATTTAATATCATTTTGGTTTTTGTAAATTTATATAAAACACAAGCACAAAAAATGATTTTACATAAAACAACAAAAAACACTTAGTCACTTTTGATATGAGGGTAGTGACATAAGTTAACATTTAGTTGTATATAGTAAAATGTGATTAAGTTATGGCAAAAATTAATTAACATACCATAACCAGATGGCAAATCAACTGGCTGTTGTACTGAGGAACTATGTATTGGTAAATTTCTTGCAGAATTATGTGATGATCGACTGCTTGGACTTCTGTTTCTAATTAAAGCAAATTAAAATTAAAGTTGATTTTACAACATAATAGTATTTATGATTAATACTTACGTTTGAGCTATTATACTGCTACTATTACTATTGTTATTTATCACATCAGTATCATTTTCAATATTAGAAATTTCTGAAGATGTTGGTGCTGGTACACAAGATGAATTATTTAATGCTTGAGTTCTAGTATGAGGTCTATTTAAAAATATAGCTTATAAAATATTTATTAAAATAAATAACACATAAAAAAATGCATATTACTTTTAATTCTTATTAGGTTATCCTTTTTTTATAATTAGTAAAATAATTGAACAAATAATGAAGGTAAATAAAATTTAAATACATTTATCGCAGCAGTCTCACATTTTGAACAACCCCATTATAATATAATAAAAATAATAAATTTGGAGAGTTTTAACAAATTTTTTGTATGCATTTTTAAGTGTATAATTATTGCTTAATAATTAGTCTCAAAACTAAATGTGATGTAATAAATTTGAATGTAGATTTAAAATAAAGAGCAAAATTATACATAGGATTCATATAAATATTGTAAACCACAGAAATTTCTTACTTCTTTTTGTCCTGTGTAATTAGAATGGTTGTTTTATAACATTTTGTAAGATTGTAATTTAAATTCTGTTATTTCAAAGTAAGACATAGTATTAAATATTAGATAATATCATTATAGTGATACAATCTTTAGAGTTTTTTTAGACTTTAAGAAGGATTTTTAAACAAAATTAATAAATTATTAATAAAAGTTTAAAACAATTTTTATCCTATTAATATGATTTTAAGCCTAAAATAATACAAAGATAATATATCTGAAAAATAAAACAAATCTGTATATTTTAATTATGTTTCAGACTTACTTATCAGGTTTGACCCATTGTGTAGTTTTAGTTCTATGATTTACATAATATAATCTTCCATTTTCTGTTTTTCTTTCTTCCCACCCTTCAGGTAATGGAGAAGGTTGTCTTGGAAGATTAGAACTAGCAGTTCCATCTTGAGATAACAAAGAAAAAACTAATTGGCCCTTAATAGGAATATGGTCATCGGAATTTAATTTTGTTAAATCCAACTTTTGATCTAAATTTAAAACAATTTTAACAATGATTATTTGAAGCATGAAACTTAGCACTATATTGTCTCACAATGATAAAAAATTATTGGTATTAATAATTAAATATATAATCAAAGATATATGTCATTGAATAAAAATATATTATCATATCAATAGTAGACATAAAAAAAGTAGTTGATTACATCATTTACCTAATTATTTTATACTTAGGTAAATAATCTTATTTTTAATAATTTACTTTTAATATTTTCTATAAACAAAATTAATATTCAATTGATAAATAAAAAAGTCCTTAACAAATCAAAACAAATTTGCTTAAAAAATGGTTGTTTTAAAAATTGAAAGTAACTAACACATTTAAGACAATATTTTCGAAATGCTGTTATTTAGAAAATAGAAAGTATTACAAAGTTATTAGGTGATGTGCGGGTTTTGTTATTTTTATCATTACATATTTACAAACAATACTATTCCTCCCACATAATTAAAAAGTTTTAATAACTTATGAAAATTATGACACTACGAGAAACAAAAAAAAAACTTCTCAATATTATTTTTATTTTTTTATTAATTAAGTGTTCAATGACAAAAGAATCATTCGAGTAAAATACCAAGTAGTATACAAAGTAAATTTAATTGCCAATCTTTTACATTTGAAGTTAATAACTTACAGCCTGTATCTTTGTATCTTTGAATTTGATTCCATGATAATCTAATACATCCAAGAAAACCACTGGCTGGCTTTTGTAAATTTTTATGTATTTTTTTATGATTCCACAAAGTAATAGTCACATGATCACCTTTACTGAGATACCTAAAGAGTTAAAAAAATACCCTTTAAGTTAATCATTAATATACATACAAAGAAATATAATATGTTTTACAAATCATAATGTTGATTCCACTGAGGATCACAAGTTGCTTTACAAGTATCTGTTGTATAACACTGTCCAGAACCATCTACACTAACTTTAGCAAAAGCATCTGGAGGAAGTCCTTAATTTAAAACAAAAAAAACTCATTATAAAATTATGTTTACAAGTATAAATACGATTATAACATATTGTTTACTTACGAAATAAGTCTTTTTTCAATAAATTTTGAGCACAAAGCACTAGAAATAAAATTCAAACATTTTTATAATTATATTTTTTAAATAACTCCCAAAAAGAAGAAATTAAGATATTTTCAAATGATAATGAATCATCAAGCTTCACTATTTAAAGGAAATAAACATCAATTCTTTTTATTTATAACCATATGTCATTTTAATGAAAAATATGATGTTGTCACATGTTTACAGTTCTTATCTAATAAATAATCTTATTATTACAAATATATCTCTATAATAATCTTAATTTTTATATACATATATAATTATATAAAGCTAAAAATTATTCAAACTTTAAATTGGTATAATGAAACAATACGCTTAGGAAATTTTTTTTGTAAAATACTACTTATTTAAATGGAACAATATGAAGATTATAATTTTTAAATCAGATTTTATTAAAATAAAACATTATATCAATAAGGTCTTTTAAATAAGTAATGTTATTGTTCAGAAATTTATGTGAAGAACGATGTAATTTGCAAAGAAAATATTAGATGATTATATACAATATTTCGAATTTACTCACCTGTTAAACGAATTTTAACAGCTCCTCCTGAACGCCTACTAGCTGAAGTGCCAGACATTATTGATGATCAGTAATTACTTGGTTGATGATCAATAATTTTTAATTATAGTACAATAATGGATACAATAATTCATTGAATTAGAATGTACGTCCATTATTAAGACAAAATAAATTGAACAGAATGACATTTCCAAAAAAAATTTATCACAGATAATTAAATGACAATGATTATACCCGTTGATTCATATTTAGAAAACATAATTAGTTAGTTAAATGATTTAAAATAAATGTGTAATTTAATTTTGGTTTAATTGTGGGTTTGTATGCCGTTTTATTACGTTCTATGAAGTAATCACTATTATGTGTAGTTATCTAAGAAAGATCAACCATTTCTATTATATTCCATTATTACCCAACTAATTTGATCATGGAAGAACGTACATATATTTTGTCAGTCCATGCATGATTGATAATTTAAATTTATAACACAGTTGAGACAATTAAATTTTTTTGCAAATTACTAAACTTTATTTACTTCCTAGCCTAGAACTACAAATAGATAACTACATACATTTTTTTCTTCATTTTTGTTGGGATAATTTTTAAACGTACCTTAATTCTCCTCAGCTGTACGTCTATGTTAAAAACTTAAATACATTGATAAAAGGGTGTAGAAATAATACAGAATCTAAAGATAGAGGTCCTTATAACCACCTTTTTTTTTAGGGCCTGATAGTGACTTTCGTATGACGAATCCCAAACTACGTTATAAACTGATGAACTTGTATTCAAGAATACATGCATGGCCGTCCATCCGCATATAAAGAATATAGTGGGATCACTGTTAAATTTCCCATATGGTCACCAATACAGAAACCAAAAGCAACAATACAGCTGAACTTCAATACTAAATAACACATCTCTGATAAAAATAATAAAACAACTATATAAAACATATTTTTCAAAATATATTTCTTTGATAAGTTTTATTGGAGTTCAATTACAATGCACAAAAATACAGCTAATTCTTTGTGGCGCATAATTACATACTATTTAACTTATTTATGAAAAAATTATTTTTTTAACACTATAAATTGAAAAATAATATAAAAAAACATATATTATGTTCTATAGTGTAGCAAATAAATAACCAATTAAAACCGATAATATTGTAAAGTTCTATTTTAAACAAAAAATTATTTATTGTTTTTAAAATACTAAATAGTAAAATAAAGAAATAAATTAATTTAAGATTAGACCAGCAAATTAATTAAAATATACATTTGAGATTTTAGAAACTATAGATAAAATAAGATAGAAATTTTTTTTTATATAAAAATTTCTGTATCACAAATTTATAATTTGTTAAGTAAAGTTTTAAGCAAATAAATTGTCCGATACGACTACATTAATAATAAAAATTTATATCAATTAATATTTATGTAAATAACATGAATATACTTCTTAGCTTATGGTAAAATCATTTTAATATTTTATCATTAAAACTTTTATAAAATTTACCAATGTACTTATGGTCACATTTATTAGATATTCAATTTGAATGAACTTGAGCGATAAATTTACAAGAAAAACATATTATAAATATTTGTTTTAATTAAATGCAATTAGTTATATGAATATATACATAAAACATTTATTTCCTTAATACTAAAATTTTAACAATACATTCAATAATAATACATTTTAAGTATAATATATATATATATATATATAAATATAAATTTAGCTACTTAATTAATTCTTAAATAGGTAAATAGTATACACAAAGGATATAGAAAAGCTATTTAAAGCTCATTAATTAAAAATCAATACGTTTTGAATACATAAAAAAACCAAAGCAGTTAATAAAAAAATACATTATAATTTAGATCAGTTAGTTTTTATTTCAACACACAATTTTTTATTTATTTTAGAATATACTCTGAACAAATGTTAACATTAAGAATGCTACTATGAAAATTAAAAAGTAATAGTAAATACATTTGTTCATATCATATACATATCAATGAGCTTTACATTTCAATAAATATTATTAACCATCAATTGTGATATAAGCCATATTACATATGTAATATACTAGTTGCTATTAATATACAAATAAAAATATTACATTCAAATTCAATTTTTAAATAAAAAATTAATGGCATTGTGAAATTATATATTATTACCACTATATTATTATTATTATTCAAACATAATATTTAAAGTGAATCATTAAAAAAAAAAAATGTGTAAGTCTGTTTAACTGTCATACATACGGCATCTTAATATTTGTATGATTTAATCAACAAAATTAAACATTTATGGCGCATGATATGGTGAAACATATGCAGCTGGAAATAAACCTTCTCTAGTACCTATTTCTCCTCGCCACCAGTTTACATCAGTACGATTTGTTACAGTAATTACATCTCCTCGTTTAAATGCTAATTCTCCCTCTTCTTGAGGTGTAAAGTCATACATTCCAATTACTAATGTCTACAGAGAAAAGAAATGTTTTTCTTTAATTAAAGTAATAAATATATAAATGAATAATTATTTTTTTAATTACCTTTATAGTATAGGCTTAATACAATTATTTAATTTTAAATAGTTACTTTTTGAATTTATACAATTTTTATAATGCTAATTTATTATTTTTTTACTTGACTTGATGTAAACCAAAAACTATTGTACATTTTAATGTACTAGTTTTTAGTTTTAGTTTTTATCAAGGTGGACATAATGCCCATGCACTCAGACCTGTTGGTCCATTGTACGCACCTCCTACCGAATTGTCTTGTTTCGATTTATACACAGAAGTGCTGTTACATTATACCTATTGTATAAGGGTGGACCATCAAGTTACCCCTATGAATGACCAAAGAGTCCCGTCTTTCCGGCAAAATTAAGTATCTTTCTGGGCCTTAGGTTTTTAATATCTTCTTTTTCAGGAAAAGGTTTACTCTCAAGTAGTTTGATCTTAGTGTGCACAAGGTTTCACATTCGCACATAATGTGAAATGAGTTTTCCTCTTCTACTCCACACTTCCTGCACAATAGTGATTCCAATACCCCCATTGCGTAAAGATGTTTAAGCAAGTGATCATGTCCTGTCAATAGACCAGTTAAAGTGCTTATTTGATGTCATGCTATTAAGATCACCCAGCAGTAAACCGAGGGTCTTGATAAACATTCTAAAGTTTCCCTGTATTCGAGGACAAGCTTTGAATTCACTTGATCAATACAAAGTGCTTTCAAAGCCTTTTGACCATATACCATTGAATACCATTAGGTTCTGAGCCCCTACCAGTATGCCATCACCTCTGCTTGGAAAACAGAGGGTGTTGTGCCCAATGACATGCTGACATTTATTTGTGGCTTTAGACCCCAAATACCAGCACCTACCTTTCCTGATTTTTTAGATCCATCTGTATATATTACAAATCCTCCTTTTTCAGTCAGGTGATTAATATTCCATTCTCCATGTATAGTGATTTCCACTTTGTAGGGAATGTTATTCATAAGAACTGGTTTGATATAGTCCAAAGGCTATTCCAAAAATCCCTTGTCTATCTCTTTTATTATTTTACCGTGTTCTGCTGTGTTACTTTCCAAAGTCCAAGTACCTAAGTTGTGGAATCTTAGTGCTGTGGTTTTGGCGTGACCTTAACCTCTAGATGCAGAGAAGGCAATCCGATAAGTGCCTCTAATGGGACTGTTGGTGTAGTTTTTAATGCTCCAGTGATGGCTATGGCTGCCATTCTCTGTATGCGACTAAGTTCTTTCCTACCTGTAACGAGTGCTGTTCTGGTCCACCAGACTAGGACACCGTACAATATCATAGATTTAATCAATGAAGTGTACAACCAATATATAACTCTTGGTTTAAGACCCTATGTCTTTCCCAAGACTCTGCTGAAAGTCCACAGTGAGGTCATTGCTTTTAATGTACTAAATAAAGTTTATTATAAACTTTTTAATTTAATATGATAATTTTAAAATAATATAATTATAAAAATACATATTAAACAAAAGACTTAGTCAATTTTTAGTAAGTCATGATCTCTAAAAATTACTTCATATTTTATTTTAATATATTAAAACAAATATTTTATATTCTGGTATTCTATGCAATGTTTTATAATTAAATAGTTATATAGATTATTAAGTAATTATATTAATTATTACTTACAGGTTTCTGGTTAAATCCATTTTGAGTTGCTGCTGGCATATCCCTCAGTCTAACATCTTGTGAACGTGATACAGATGATTCTCGATGATAATCAATTAACTCATTCAAGCTATCAAACTTAACAACCCATAAAAAAAATTTTGCTTGGGCATCCCTCAAAACTTTGAAATGTTGAACACCATCACCACACCTTAATTTATAAATAGAAATTATTTTGTAATTTTTTATAATTAATTAAACTGATCAACTTATTAAATTTTGTAAAAAAAATTATAATTAAAATTTGTTTAAAAAATTATAAAAGTTTATAAAAATAATTCCTTACTTGACAGATAATGAAAAATCTCCTGGTGAACTCTCACTAATTCTAACTAAGAAACATCCTTCTGGTTGCTGATCTAACAATTTTTCGGCGTCTGCTCTGGTTATTTTGCCATAGTACCAACTATAATTATTAGTAAACTTTTAATAAGGAAGTCAACTGCACAAAAAATAAACCCTAAACAAAACTCAAAATGTTTTTGAAGTTTTATGAGATTATATTTGTTATTTTTATAATTAATATATTTCTAACACAATAATACACATTATTCATAATAAGAGATCAGATTTCATGTAGTTTGTAAAATAATTATTTAAAAAATCCACTCACTCATGATTTTTCATTTCTATATAGTTACTGGGTATTAATCCTTCTTTGCCCTCAAATTCTGCTCGGAACCAATTCACATCATCTTCCATATTAATCACCTAATAAAAATTGTCATTATTTATGACAAAATTACATAAACTTCTATGCTTAAACAATATATATTTTATCATACCCTAAGTAGACTGCCTTTTTTAAAGCTAAGTTCATCGGGAGCTGTAGCTTTGAAATCATGTTTTGCAATAGCTTCCATTATAATAACTAAATATATACTTCACGCGGAATCGAAAAATACGTAAGGGAACGGCAATAGTTAAAAATATCAAACTTAATAAAAAATATATAAATTTTATTACCACAGCATTAAAAATAAAAATGCAGGATATAATAACCAACACAGTACGAGAGACAATTCAACCTTTGGTGAGTAGATAAGACACACGACGGACGGCCTCGCGTGAGTCGCACAGTGAACTAAAACACTAACGCTGATAGCAAGCCGACATTTGATGTGATAAGTAAAAATTATTTAGCATTGTTGACAATCACGTTTTAACTGATATCTTTCTGAAAAATCCTTCATAAATTTTGATTAATTATAGTAGTTTTTATAAAAATTGCCAGATTAAAAAAAAAAAACGAAAAATTGAGGAATTTATCAACCGTTTATTATTGTGATGAACATAAAAGCAGCATTGCCAAATTTCTTTAGAATTGTATAGTCGATTCGTTCTGTACGACCTTGAAGCTGTCTGAACAATGCCCCAAACATCCAACAGGTCTCTCCACATCAACTCAATGTTTTCAGGACTAGTGGGCACGTGTATTCACCACCGGCTTTTCTTTTATAATATACATATGTACTAATGAATTTATTAAATTTGAAATCTTTTTCGTCGCACTTTATGTACATTCAACTCACTAAATCAACCTCAATTCAATTAGCTATACTTTTTTTTCCATGGTCAGGTTTTGGTTTTCAGGGACTCGTGACTGCAAAAAATATTAATTTTAGAGTGTCCTTAATTTTTTTGGTATTAAGAGTTATATGCATGATCATTTAAGAGATATGTTTGAAGAACAAAGACTGGGGGAAAAAATTAGGTGACCTAAATGTAATATCTCTTTTTCCGATAAAATTTTGTTTTAAATGAATAGAGCCTACTACAATTAGTTGATTAACAAAAACAATAACTAATAATGATTAAAAATATAAAATTAAGAAACGACATAAAAAATACATTTTTAGACCATATAATTTTTTAAACTCTTGAAAGAATTTAGTCTTTCCAAGCTTTACCACGATCAAGAAATTTTAAGCTTTACACAAACAGATGCATATTTTGAATCTTAATTTTAAATTTATTGGTTTATTGAAGTGCTTTAATTTTTACAACATCATGATACTACTTAAGTTTCATTCATTTGAAACGATTTAGGTTCTGCGTAAAAAATAATTTTATCTTTTTTATAATAACAGTTTCTATTAATTAAGTAAAAAGAGATTTTTTATCATTATCAGTCAGGTACGTAGCCAGGATTTTATTTAGAGAGGAAAATGCTTAATAAAAATATTTCTCTCGCCTCGCAATACTATCAAGTTATGCTTCACAGTAATAATGTCATAAGGAATGGAAGAGTCTGTCTATAAATTTCTTCTAAAATATGCCTCATTTCAGCCTTTAAATAATTTGGTGAATTGAGTTCATATTCGGTTCCCCTTGAAAATTAATTCCAAGCATATTTAAAGCGTACTTATTATTTTACTTTTGGGACTTTATATAAGAATTTATACATAATATAATATACATGTAATTATTTACAACATATCTAACCTTTTAAGTGTATCCCTACGTAAATCTCTATCCACAGTAAAAAATTGTACCCCATTTCATTATACAATAGTGTATTATAGTTTCAATCTACTTGATATAGACTCAACGTTTTATTAGAGCTTATGAATATTATGTCGTCGTTTACATGAAAAACGGCCCCAATCGATATTTTAAAAGAAAATATGACGTTTTTATAAGTTACAATAGAAATAGATTTTTTAATATTGAATTATCTCAGGAAATAATAGATAATAATAATAATAATTTCTTCAATAAACGAATAATATAATATAAGATGTATGTATTTCTCAAAAATAAAAATTCTCAAATTTAATTTACACAGTTTTGCCTCGGAGAAGACGATATTTAAAATAAATTAACTTTGAATTTTGTAGCGAGTTTTATATAAAATAACAAAATGAAAATGACATAATGTAGGCTTTCATGTGATGATAAAAATAGAAGCTTGTTCTAATTTTAATTTTAGCAATGATGAAAAACTAAAACAATTCCTTAAATTTGATCATGTACCGTACTCTTTTCATTAAAATTTAATTATTTTGCTGAAATACTTATAAATTGTATAAATAAGGATTACCTCATTAAAAACAAACATTTTAGATTCAATAAATTTGTTATTCAATCACATATGTATTTGATAACATATTCATACAGTAGAAATATATAATAATGTAAACTATGGAAAAAAGGCTCAACTAAAATAAAAAAATTTGAAGTCACTAAATGAATTTTCTTATGTTAAATATATTGTTACATTATAATGAATATAATCTTTTACGTTTTTAAAAAGAATAGGCTATTTCTTCTAGTACAATTCCGTGAAAAAAATACATTTATAACTATTTTGTCATATACGCCATTCATTTGATTAGATGAAATTAGAAATCATGTATGATATGACTATGAAAACAAACGCTTCCTCAATCGTCTTATTATACTTGAGGGCAAAGTAACCTCATAAAGTTTCATTACCCCTTCTTCCTTTGTGTTTAACAGTTTAGAGAAGAGTCGATATCAGGGACAGCGCGAACGCAGTCCCGCTACCAAAAATTACGTGTCCGAGATATTCCTATTTGGAATACTCGCAGGGGTCAACCATCCCGATGTGCAATGAGACAGTCTCGTCCTGGAGGAACCGCCTCGGTGATCACGGTTAACCTCGACACCAAGTAAGTATGTCTAAAAAATTCGATAATTCACGTTAAATAATATATCACTTCGGGAAAAACCAAGTAGACTTCGATTTAATAAAAATATGAAACAACGTACTTCATGATAATTTTATCAATAGATGTTAACCTATTTAAATTATTATGTTTGATTGATAGTAATGTTGATCGAAATTAAAACCAAACATTAAAATAAAAATCGTGGTACAACAAAAATAACTACCGAGTGAACCAGAAGTTAATAGAAACGCTATCTATTGGCATAATTTTGCGTTTTTACAGAGTATAAATTAGATAAAACAACGACTTCGTAGACAACGATACTATTATTAATGACACTTCAAAAAAAATTTAACATTTCAAAAATTTACCTTTTTGCAAAAATTAATTACTTTATTATACATTTTTATTAAATATAATCAACATTACTTGTAATTTGGATTAACCAATTATTATGTTTGACAATTGGATTCCTTTGGTTTTCAAACAAAGTTATTCTCCATATAGCATTTTCATTTTTTTAATGTTTAATAATAGTATTGAAAAACGTTTATTTTAAATTATTTTTCTAAAAATTCTGTATGGGCTTCAAATTTTCTTTTTTAGACATTTTAGAAAAATGTTATTTCATTTCCTCAAAGTGAGAAAAATTTTAAAAGACAAAAATGTCTTTTTCAACTGAAATATATTTTTAAGTAGGTTTTTATATGAAATAACATTTAAATAATTTATAGTTTATTAATTAATGAAAGAGATCACATTATGTTTAAAAGAATCATAAAACTTATAGTTTAGTTTTTAAGTAAATAAAATTATATAATAATTTATTTTTTAAATCAAATTGTTATTTTTATTTAAAATTACAATTTACTTAGCATTGGAAACAATAGTAAAATAAGTTATGTTCAAAAAAATTTGGGGTATCATATTTAACATAATTTTTTATTTTATTAATGATATAGACAAGAATTTAAAAAGCAGTTAGATTTTTTACATAAACTTAAAATTACAAGATTTTATAAGAAAATAATAATTATCACTAATTATAAAATAATGAGAATCTCTTAAAAACAAATGAATTGGCCATTTAAAAAATATTTAAAAAAATGTTGGAAGAAAGTAAAATCATTATTATTGGTTATCTTATGCACAGTTGCACAAAATGACACGTGTTCTTTTACAATTATTTAAATCTAAATTAATCTATACAAATATACCAACTGCAAAATCAAATTTTGATTTTTAATATATTTGATACATTTTTTTTTCTTTTTAATCTCAAACAACTGAAAAAAAATGTTATCACTATAATAGCTAAGATATAACTTTTATAATTGTATTAATAAATTTATATTAGTATAATCAGTTTAAATATTAGTGCTTACAATCAAATCCACTTAATTTAAATAAAAAACCTCCTGGACTAGTGCTTATTCAAATGAGGAATTTGATTAATTGAAAAGATTTATTTCTACCTAATTTGTAAGATCGTGTTTATTATTTTATATAATTTGCATTATATTTAAGAAGAATTTGTTACAAAATTATTTCTTTATAAATAGTAATGTTACTCAAATGACCCATGCAAATATTAAATAAAAATAAAATACTGAAATTTAAATATTTGATACTTGTGACATACTCTGGTGGTATACAAATTAATTATTTTATCGAGAAAACTCATAAATTTAAAGATAATTTATACAATTAATAAACATTTTTAATTTAACTATTTTAAAATTTAATATAGAAATACGACATTAATGTATTATTTCTTTTTATTGAAAACATTAAAATAGTTTAATAAATTTCCGATAGATGGTGCTGTCATGATTTTTTTACTTAACACTTATTAAAGATGACTTATGTTCGACTCATATCAGTTACAAAACAGAGTGTGACGTAAATTATTATTTAGGTTTTACTCAATAGATTAGTATATTAGAGTTATCAATCGTTGTATTTAATTTATGAAGATTAGTTTTGTAGTGATTTTCATAAATTTTTTACATACATGAACCTAACATTTTCAGAATGATACACTATTATAAACTTCATCAAATCACCCATCAAGCATACTTACCTGGCGTGGAGGTCAACCGTGATCAAATAGGCGGTTCCTCCAGGGCGAGGCTTGCTCATTGCACATCGGGTGAGCTGACCCCTGCGAGTATCCCTAATGTGGATACCTCGGACGCACAATTTTTGGTAGCTGGGACTGCGTACGCGCCGTCCCTAATAAATCTAAAATAATGAACATCACATGAAATCTAATATAATAATAGTTTAACTTTACTTAAAGGTACTTATCAAGCTAGGATAATGAGGGATTACGTATGATTATATAGAACACCTTAGGATATTTGATTGAAACCAAAGTCATGAGGGTAATTCACCAAAGAACACGATTTATTATAATTACATGTACCCTATTATAATTTCAATATATCATAGAACGTAGTTATGGAACCTTTCTGTGTAATAATAATTATTTATACACAAAAAAAGGTTAAAATTTACTCTAATCTGTTCTCCTCCTATACAGAATGTTCAAGTAAGGAAAAAGGTCAATTGTGACAAACAATGAGATCAATAGTAAGTTTCCTTACTTACTGAACACTCTTACAAGAGTTGATAGTGCACACAAGAGATAATATCATCAATTAAATAAATGTTCCTTAAGTATTTGACCATTATACAGAAATAGTGTCAGCAAATTAAAACTTCGGCTCTTTTTTCAAAATTTTGTTCTTAAAACTAATCGATTTTTTTAAAAACTAGATATTTAATGTTTTATTTTTAAATATGCATATATTCATAAAGTAAGGAAAAGAAAAATTTTTAATATTATAAACAAGTCTCATGTTATTTTTTTTAATAAGAAAAATGATGTGATAAATTGTTTATCTTTTGAATGCTAGTTTTGCAATAAATAATAATTTATTAAATAGAATAACATTTTTATTTATTTTACAAGCCTAGTTATAATGTACAAAATTTTGAGCACCAAAATTTTATTTAAAAAAAGCAAAATTTCTAAATCAATATTATTTGTAATAATTAAGTATATGACATAATTAATAATAAAACTATTATCTATTTCAACAAATAAGTTAAAAATTTAAGGTAATACATATTAAACTATATGAAAATGAAGTTCTTTTCTAAATATTGAGTCTTAAAAAAAAAAGTATGATACAATTTTATAATAAAGTATAAGTATAATCTAGGTATTTTAAGGTAACATCCCATATCTAATAAAGACAACAATAACAATAAAATTATGTAAAAAAATTTTATTATTGTAAATTTGACAATTTTAGACAAAATTGATGAAAGATAAAAAAAAAAAATTACAAATAATGCTTATAGTTGAAATTTTTAATTAAATTTAATATAAGATAATTTAATTTGTTTTGCAAATAATTTTTTTTTTTTCATTGCTCTAAACAATACTAATTATGTTAAAGAAACACATTTTCTAAACAATATATTTTATAATAATTTTTTAATTAGCATTGTAGAAATTCTTATTTCAATGATTTAGATAGAGATATTACGTATCATGAAGCTATCTCTGACTTAATAAAATCTTTGAAAAAAAAATGTTATTCTATAAAACTACACTCTTTATAATATATAACTGTAATTTTTATGCTTTTATTTTCAGCATACTAAAGCATTCTATCCTTGTAAAACAAGGTAAAACCTTGTTCCTATTCCTTACATATAACATTTTCCGAAGCTCGGCCTTTAATATAATTGACAGATTTAAGAGAGGCTAAAGTATAGCCTTGTTTTAAATTATTCTTCAAAGTAATCTTAAAAAGTAATATTAAATTTTATATTTAAAATAATTTAACTAATATATAAAAAAATAGGAAATATGACAGACTTATCCACTCAATACTCTAATAGTTACCTAATATGTGTATAAGTAAATTTATTTATAAAATTATTTAATTAATCTTGATGGTGGCACCATTGAAGTAAATGGTCTCTGAGATTGATCAGCTACGCTGTTTAGTAGCATCCCTTCAACATTTAAACCATTCAGATCACTTGTACTGCTATTAAAAATTAGTATAATTAATTATAAAAATAAATAATCATCTTAAAATAATCAAACAGTGGCGTATTTTAAAACAAAAGGAGGAAATAGATCAAGCAGCAAATTTTAAGAGGCATATCTTGGAAGTAAATGATTTTTTATTTATTTTTCCTTTTGACAAGAAGAAAGATCTCAATAAAAGACTTTTCTATCAATTTAAATATAATAAACTGAAATTTATTTTTGGGCATACAAATATTTGAAATATTATCCCAAAATAGTAAAATTTTAAATATATCTCTACATTAGATAATTTATTACATTACTTTGAAGATTCTAAAAATATTTCATTCTGATCTTTTGAAATGTTAAATGTAATGGTTGAATACTGTTTTAAATTTGTATTAGGATCAAAACATTCCATACAACCATTGTAAATTAATAATTCATCAACTAATATCTAAACAAGAATATTAATATATTTAACCAAAAAATTTATTAAGTAATAAAAATCTTACTGCAAAGTCTTTGACTCCTCTAGAAGGTGTTTTAGCATAATTCCAAATTTTAAACATTGACACATAAGTAGGTTCATCAAATATAATAAAAACTTTTGTTACCTTTATAATAAACATCAATTGAAAATAAATAAAAATATTAAATTATAATAGTGCTGGTGCCAAAGTAAGCAGGAAAAACATAGCTCTAGATACTGCATTTCGATGCAGTCATAATTTCAAGTTCTTTTTTTACTAAATGCACAAATAAGAATTCTTCTATGTAGTAGATCCTTTTGCTTATAACTAAAAATTATTACTTAAAAAGTAATAATACAAAACTGATTATTGATTATTCAAAATTATATTTAAACCATTCTAAATTTTAATAATAAAATAATAATAATAGGTTCTCATTTAATTTTTAAAAATTACTCTAAAATTTACTCTTAAAAATAATTTTTTTACACAATAAATTAGATATAGACAATGGTTTACAAAATAAATTTTAATTTATACTTTTTTATAAAAATAATCATTTAACAAAAAAATGTGGAATAGTACACTTAATAAATCATACTGTATATTCTATATTAAGTTATTTTTAAAATCAATTTAAAATTTTCTGGAAAAAATGAAATATGAAGTTTATCATTTGATTGTTATTCCAGGTATAGTATAGAATTTAACAATAGTTAAAATTTTTGTTTATATTTAAATAATAGAAAGAATTCTTACTTATTAAAGACAAAGTCTATCTTAAAGATATCATTAAGGCTATATGAAAACTAGCACCAACACTAAATATAAATGAAATAATTATTTAATTAAAGACCTCTGAAGGAAGAATTGGAGCAAGCCACATATGTGATCCATCTAAAGTTTCATTAACACCGTCTATTAATTTTTCAGGCGTTCTAATATCATTTTTATTATTTTTCAATATATTTACACTATGTGGCCAACAATTAACATCTAAAATAAAAATATTAATTTACATATAATGTTAATACATAAATAAAACACATTTATGTTATGATCAAAGTGAAAAAAATAGGCATTCATGGAATAGTCTAATAATAAAATGTCTACAAACTTATGCAAGTAAAATAAAGCTTGTTTAAAAGCTTAATGAAAATATTAAAATCGGAGTTAGATTTTATGAATGTGAGAGCCTTAAGTTCATATTATTATTAAACAAAAATAGGTAAAAAATTGTTTAAATTATTATGAGTAAAAAAAGATAATTAATTTATGTGAAGGACCCAGACTCTCTTGGAGATCAAGGAGAGGACATTTTCTTTTCTGGATAGTTAATATAATAATCTTTTTGTATTTTTATTGTTAAAATCTATATATTTCTGTTATTTTTTATATAAAATAATTTTTTTCTGTTTCTTGTTTCATCATTTAGAAATTGATACATATAAATAGTGAGTTAAAAAAAATCTTTTAAATTCTTTAAATATTACCTTAGGGTTGAAAATTCAAGGATCTAAAATAGTAATATCTAAAAATATGTGGTTAATTTTAAAGGATTTTTCTTAAGAACCCTAATATATAATTTTATTTTTTATTTACTTCGAAGTTCCAACTTAATAATTTCACCATTATTATCAAATAATTGAATTCCATTTAATCCTATGTAATATTGATCTCCCCAAGTTGACAACAATGCAATTTGATAAACAAACCCAACAGGAATAGTTGCATATTCATAGTCAAAAATATTCACTCCTGTTGAAAAAAAATTAACTAAAATGTAGAGCAAAACAATTTATTTTAAATTTGTTAACCTTCTATTCAGTCAAGCAGTGGGTTGATAACCTATATTATGTATGACAAATATCATGATGATTTTAAGGGGTGGGTGGTAAGTATTGAAAAATGTATAACCACCCTTTCTAATTATAAAATATTGGCACACTACTGTTGCTATGAACATTGATAAGAAACAAAAAAGTGAATGATAGAACATAGAAGTTTGGAACAATTTTTAATTACTATTGTCATAGTACTTTTGTAGTGCTTCGCCGTCACTACAGTAAAGTTGCCTTATTATATTTTATAGGAAAATGAGATAATTTTAAATTATAAAGGTTAATTTTTGAAACCTATTAAAAAATTTTTTTTCTAAATAGATGGAATAGTTTTATTAAATATATAAAATTGAGGAGGTATACAGGGTGATTGAAATCTGGTAAGGCACTCATTTTCTCAGAAAATATTGAGAATTTTAAATTTTATTATAGAGAAAAAATATCAAGTTCAAAAAACTCTACAGAAATGTGTAGTCAAACCATTATTTTTTTCGTCCCTTCAAAGATAAAAACCCTTATTTATAATTTTTTTTAATGAAAACCCTTATTTTTAACTTTATAAAATGATAGAAAAAAAAAATTACAAACAATTTTGTTCTTATAATTTTTTTTATCTGATTAACCGTTCGTCCGTTACAGCTTGTTAAAGTTAAGCGATTTTAGGCCAAATTTCTATTGTCATTTTACTGTATTAAATAGTCATCATTTTTATTTGCTGTTGCATAAACCAAATTTTATTGATCAAGTTATGACAGGTAAATTAGCTATAAAAATTTACTACGCACTAAATGAGTGATAACAATAATAGATTCAAACCGGCTTTTTGGTGTATTATTAATAGCTAAGTTTATGGTTTTGTCAGACTAAAGAATCTAACAAAAATACCGGTTGTACTGCCACCGATATTATGAAACGTAATAAATGACAATATTTTTTCTGGAAGTCAAAATCTTTAAACAATTATAAAACGTAAACAGTTGTTCGGATAAAAAAAATTATAAGAATAAAATGATTTGTAATTTTTTTTCTATCATATTATCAAATCAAAAATAGTGGTTCCCATTTAAAAAAATTATAAATAAACATTTTTATCCCTGAAGGGATAAAAAAAAATGTATTTAACTTCATATTATTGTAGAGTTTAATAAACTTAATCATTTTTCTTTTTACAAAAATTTTAAATTCTCAATAGTTTCTGAGAAAATAAGAGTCTTACCAGATTTTGATCACTCTGTATATAAATATATGTTTTTAAAATTGAATGTTTTTTATTACATATGTATAAGTATAGTTAGTTGCGGATTAGAAAAAAATTGACTTGCATAATAATAGTTCAAGCTGCCTTTGGTTTTAAAGAATAACCTTCACTAGGAATTATTCAGTGACCCAATCCATCACTAAGTATATCAATAAATAAAAAAATTATTTTTATAAAAACATTTTATTGGATAAAAACTAAATTATCTTAAATATATCTGTAACTTGGAGAAAAATAACAGAATATCACAAAATTATAATTTACAAGGTAATGAAATGTTCACATAGTGTTTTAATAAAACACTAACCCTTCTAATAAAATGATTATTTTTCATTCTTAATTGCTTTATTTCAAGTATATACTCGAACATCAACATACCCTTCCAAATCCAACCTTGTGGTAACTGATCACCTTCATCTAGCTCTTTTTTATTTGTATATTATTCTAGGCATTGCTGATCTAGTTAAACCAATAATTTATTTTTAGGAATAGATTACCCAAGACCCCAAATCTTCTCCTGTATAATCACCACTGATACAGAGATAAAAAGTATACAAAGCCATGTAACTAACTGTATTTTATGAAAAATGAACATGTTATAATTAACTTACAATTTACAGATATACACGTAAATTATAAATCATACAAAAATTTGATGCTATAAATCTGAATTTTTAATTACTTACTTTTATGTTCTTCAAAACTTTTGATAATTGTCTTTTTATAGTGGTTAGATTTGTGACTTGGAAGTAAAGAGATATTTTGTCCAAAGTTGAACTTACAATGACCTGGTCCACGCCTAACTTCTACTATACCTCTTTCTGTAAGTTCTTTATCATCAACTTTTAATCTAATAAATTTTACCTTCAATATTCAAATAAAATTTTTAAATGTTATATTAATAATTCAAAATAGCAAAATGTAAATACTAAGTAACTTATAACCATACACCATAGTTCAAAAAGTCAATAGGTCCATTATAATTCCATATAACTAATGTAGATAAATGAACTGGAGTCAAAAAGTTCAAAGTTAATATTAAATGTTCATCTGACAATTTACAAGTCCACATATCATCATCACTGTTAGAAATAGTAGTATCCAAAAGCCTAAAAATTTTTTATAATTAATATAAAAAAATTAATAATCATTATGAAGTTAGTATAATGGATTATTAGTAAATCAGTTAGCTTCTTAGTAGAATTAAAATATTTAAATATTCTCCACCTGATACTGTTATGGTGTGTCAATAAAATTTTTTTTCTCATTTTACTGTACTATTTAAAATTTGTATTAAAAAAACTGTTAAAATACTATTATTTAATCCCATACTTCTCTACATTAGTGTTGTCCAAATTACATTTTATACTATCAATTTTAACAGTATCACCAGCTTCTCCTAAAACTTTTAGGCCAAGTAATCCAACTATATTTGGGTAACTTTCTATGTTTGAATTATTTAAACTCCATGATGAAATAATAATTATTTTTAATGATTTTTGACATAATATAGATCCAGTAGTTTGACAATGAGATTTAATATTTGGTGAAATAGAACCAGATGAAACATTTGTAATAATTGGTTGAGCAAAAGTTAAAGGCCTAATAATCTGAAAAATAAAATTATTTGAGCATAAAAATTTATTATACAATGCTTTAGTTAAACATACACCAGTATCTACAGTAAGAGGACGTTGATATGGTTCATTAGCCAATGTATTATCTGGATTGTTAGTTTCTAGAAATGTATGAAAAGAAGTATCATGCATAGCAATGTTTTCAAGAATTTCATCATTCAATGTATACAAAATTGTCTTAATAATTAAAACAAATAACTAAATAAATACTTTTAACTTAATTATAATATATAAAAAAGAAAACACACATCACCAAATGCATCAGGACAACCCACAATACCACCAGAAGCTCTTGAAATTTCTCCTAGGAAAATCAATTGAGAATTCAAATATATTTTCATATTCTTAACACCTCTATAAGAATGAATTCTTGATTTATTGTAGTTCTAAATAAAACCATTATTTAAATTTTCATAAAAATACATAAAAAATAAATTATAAACTATACCCATATTCTAATCATAGCAACAGTTTGAGTTTTATCAAATTTAAAATAAACATAATGATGACCACCTGGAGTAAAAGGAGTGAGCCATAAATGCATATCATCTCTTGTAAGGTTAATACCATCAATTAAATTCTGAACCACTCGAGGGTCCGATGTGTATTCTGGAAGAACATTAATATCAGATGGATCAGCCCATATCTATTAAAAGTACAAATTGATCTTGTTAATTAATTATAAAATTACAACAAACTTAGCTACATACTTTTAAAATATTAATTAATAGACCTTCATCATTAAAGATTTCAATCCCATTGAGACCCACATAATGTTGATCACCCCAAGTGCTAGTTATATCAAATTTTAATTCTGTTCCACTTGGAAGTTCAGGTATTATAAAAGGTGACTGCAGTTTAATATCATTTTTTATAAAGTTGGTATCATTTTCACCTTCTAGAGTAAAATATGTCAATGTATTACAGTCTATAAAAATAATATATTTTATTATTTATAAAGTGTAAAATCATAACAAAATTTAAGATTATACATTATGACATTCTTCAAGTAAAATATCAAATTTTCAAATATTTTTTAAAACATTACAAATATATATATATATATATATATATAATTATATATATACCTTTTTGTTTTGTAGTTAATCTTCCTCTTTGTTTTCTATTGAAAAAATTTAAAGACGTCCAAGACTGTTCAAGAAAGTCTTCTCCAGCATTTATATTTAATTTGGGTTCAGATGAACTGTTATCCTTAGCATTACAATTAAATTGGGTGTTCTTGTTTAAATTACTAATATTATGTACAGCACGTCGACCAAATCGAGCAGAATTTTCTCTTTGTTGAACTTGTACATCTAAATTATCATCTTTAGTATTAAAATTAGGTAAAGAATTTTCATTAATATGTAAAAAGGGTGATAAAAGTGATGTAGGAAATATATCTAATGGTATTCTTTCATGAGTTGACCAGGTTCGAGCACTTTTTGATTTTGATACTTCTTGAATTCTATAATCATTTTTAGAATTAGTACGAGAGATTTCAATTCTCCTGTAACAGAAATTATTATTTAAAAACCAGTAAAAACCAAACAAGTAAAAGTATATCTTAATAAACAGAATAATTTTTTAATAATGTACAACCAATCTTTTTATTTAAATTCTATAGTCTTTAATAAGATGTGCCAAAATCAAGAATATCTAACTGATATGTTACAGCAACTTTTACTCTTATGAGTTTAATTATAAAGAAAATTAAAAAAAAAATTGTTTAAATTGAAATCATGATGTTAATAGTTTTAATATTAATTCTAATGTATAATAAAAATAAAAACATACTCCCAAACTGATACTCAGTTTGGGTTTCTACATCACACAGCACAATACATCAAATATACAGAGAGGTAAACACTATTTTTATAACTCAGGAAAAAAACAATTCTTCTATAGACTTCTGATGCTGATTATGCTAATGACAAAGTTATTATATCCATTATATAGAACTCACTAACTACTTCCTCTAACTTACAATTACATCTTAACCTCACGTCTGAGTGGTATGCAAAATGGAGAGTTAAAATAAATCAATTTACACTATGTTCACATTTAAACAAGCTGTATGTTACATTTATATATATACTTTTTTTTTAATTACATTAAAAACATCCTAATTCCACATCAAATACAGTCAGGTACTCGGAAATCATCTTAGATAAGCGACTAACCTGGAGTCATAATATTCATAATACTAAATTAACCTTTAATAAACCAATGTGCCATCTAAGACCCATTTTAATTAAAAATAACTTAACCAGTGTAAAAACTTAACTTTTAATTTACAAAATGCTATTCAATCCTATTTGGATGTATGGACTGCAACTTAGGTGTACTGCAAAAAAGTCAAATTTAAATAGAATTCAAACGTTCCAAAATATAGGACTTTGATAAATCTCCAATGATTTTGCTATTAAAACTATTAAAGAGAAGCACACACTTATTACTCATGTTTTCTAAATTATAAAAGTAGTAGCCAGTCGTCAAAGAATTCAGGAAAATAATATTATTAAAAAAAAATGTATTAAAGAAAAAAATTAGATTTAGCTTCATCAAAAGATGTCATTACCATAAACAAACACGGGTATGCTAATAATTTTAACAGGTTTGTTTAAAAAATTTAATGTGGCATAATATAAAGCATCTGGGGGGTCTAGTGAAGGTTTACCCCATCTCCATAATTATATCATAAAACTTATGCAAATTATATGTAAATTTATAAAGAAATATTTTTAAGGACTGAGAAATTAAATTCTTTAAACATTTTATTCAATTTGTGCTTATAATATGTAGCATTGTACATAACTTTTGTGAAGCTGGGTGGGGAAGGGGAACACCTTCTCCTCCAAGTATGATTAAGTAAGGATATGGTTTAAGTATAAGGTCTTTAATTTAATATATTATTTATCAAATTATTTATTAAATTTATTATTAATTTTTAAAATTGTGTAAACGAAAAATCACAATCTTCGTAAATATAAGATATGATTTTTTTTTTAATTGTATTAAAATTTGTAGTTATTTTAGTATTATTTTTATTTTATTAAGAGTTCGATTATGACTCACTCGGACAAATCTTCTAACCATAAAGGTAATGCCTCTTTTGACATTCGCTACGATTGATTAAAAAACAATTAAAAAAATTCTAATTAAATACAATTTAAAAAAAAAAAATATTAACTTCATAAAAAAAAATTGTAAATAATTGTTTTGAAAAACTGTTGCTATAGAAACTGAAAACATACGTTTTGTTATAAATATGTGTTTTGATTATTCAATCTGTATTTTGTATTATCTTATCAAGTAGATTACATAATTTAAAAAATACAATAACACCTTATATTAGTTCTACAATTAAATGTAAAAGATAAAAAGGTCAGAATGTATAAATTTGTTAAACAAAATACAAGCATCATGTCTATTAGAAAACTTTTTTTTAAATCAAAATTTATTGTAAAGAATATAGCTTATAATCTATCGACTAAACCTACTCCAGAACATTTACAACCTTTTGTAACTTTACAAAAATTAACTGGTAAAGAAGAAGGTATTGCTGTTGTTGGACTTAATAGACCAGGATCAAGAAATGCAATTAATAAGAATATGGTTGATCAACTTTTCAACATCATAAAACAAGTAAATAGTTCAAATGATATTAGAGTAGTTATTTTAAGAAGTCTTGTTAAAGGGATATTCTGTGCTGGAGCAGATTTAAAGGAAAGACTCACCTTAAATCCTATAGAAGTACGACAATGTGTAACAGATTTACGGCATTTAGCTAATGCCATTGAAAATATACAAATTCCTGTTATAGCAGCAGTTGATGGTGCTGCTTTGGGAGGTGGTTTTGAGTTAGCTTTGAGTTGTGATTTCATTATTGCTTCAAATAATACTAAATTTGGTTTGGTTGAAACTAGACTTGGTATTATCCCAGGTGCTGGAGGTACACAACGTTTGGTTCGTATAGTTGGTGGACCTTTAGCCAAGGAGTTAATTTATAGTGCTAGAATTTTCAGTGCAAATCAAGCATTACAATATAAAGCTGTTAACAAAGTAATTGAACAAAATGATCAAGGGACAAGTGCATATATCAATGCTATTGAAATAGCCAAAGAAATTCTTCCTAATGGGCCATTTGCTGTTAAAATGGCCAAGAAAGCTATTTTTCATGGACAGCAAGTAGACTTCACAACAGGATTCGCAATTGAAGAAGCATGTTATAATCAAGTTATACCAACAAATGATCGAATTGAAGGACTAGTAGCATTTATAGAAGAACGAAAACCTAAATATACTGGTTCTTAGGAAAGACAAAATTTATTTTTATTTAATTTTTTATTTAGAATAATTAATTTCACTTAAAATTTAAAAAGTATCAAACTTTTTAAAAATGTTTTAATTAATAAAAAAAAGAACTATAAAATAATTATGCATAAAAAATTTCTATTCTTAGTCTATATATAGGAGTGTATTTAAATGAATACCATTTGTAAAATTATTTTAAAATTTTGGAACTTTATGAGCATCTTAAAGGATATAATCATTAGTTACAAACTCTTCTTAAAAAAAAAATGTGTTATTTAAAAATATTTTTTAAGTAATTATTTGATTAACAGTATATAATTACTGATTAACAATAATGAAATAATATGAAAGTAAAAATGGTATAATTTGTACAATTGTATTTAATATGTCCAATATTATTAATGTCAAAAATTGTAAATAGATTAAACATTTGCTATAGTAGTATAGTTTTTAAAATATACATAATAAACAAAAAAATTTGAGTATAATTAATATCATATAATTGATATGTAAAATAGCTACAATCAATATAAAGAGAAAAACAAATTTTTTTAAAGATATTCTATGTATTATTGATAATATAGCTAAAGCTTCCGCAGTTGATGCAAAAATATATCTAAGGTCGCTATATCTAATGATATAATTTTGCAAAACCTGATATATGATTATAACGATTTTTATTCGTTGTCTTGTCACAAAAAAATGATTTTAATAAAAAGCAGCCAAATTTTAAAACTTTTAAATCATTTCTTATTTTTCAAATTTTAGCTTCGATGGGAAGCTGAGAAGGTATTAATTTTACCACCGAACCAATTTCTTTCAACGATATGTCAAAAGATCATAAATCGTATCTATTCGAAGACATTACCCTCAAAAATTTTAAAAATTTCCCTCGTTCCTCGTCATTGTAGGAATCTCCTTAAAAAATTTAAATTTTAAAAATCAGTAATTTTATATTTTTTTCATAGTATAGCTAATGACTTGCTCTACAAGCCACATGTATGGATTAACATAATTTTGCGTAATTTTTAGTTAATCTCTTTAAACGAGCAAACTAGAGAAAAAAAACGAAAAAATTCGATTTTTTTTAAGTATAAATTTGTTAAATTCCACAAAAATAAAAAAAAACCTTTTTTTTTCTTTTTCATTTGAAAAAAGATATCTTTTTTAATAGGAATCAAAAATTTTTTTTAATTTTAAATTATGTTTTAAGGCATACAAAAAAATGTACAAAAATAAACTCAAAATTACTGAAAATACGGATAAATTTTAGAAGTATAACATTATAATAGCTCTACACCTTCACTAAATCAACTTATGCCCTTGAAAATTTGTATTAAAACACTTAAGTATGATATTAATGTGTTTTGCTAAAAAAAAAAAATTTAAGTGACTTTTAAAAAATGATACTTATGGCCGCCTAAATCGGCGTTTCATTCCACTGTGGGACGGTCTATTAATAGCGATAGTTTTAATATATTTGTACAAGTTCAAACAACCGTTTTCAGTAGATGAGATAAATATTTTTAAAGCGGCGACAAATTCATTGATAATTATTATCAATTCGATGGATATTTGAGAAGTTTAATACTAAAGTCAATCAAGTCACAAGTAGTAAGAGTAATAATAGATTAGTTCAAACTGGCGGCTATGTGGTGTTCATAAGCATTAAGAATGTTTTTAATGNAAAACTCGGTCATAGGCGGCTTCATTTGCCGAACCAGAGATCAGTTCGGTAATTGGCAATTTTATTGTTAAATTTAATGCTTTAGTGTATTAGTGATCGGGTGTGACTATTTTTATCATTTAACATTATTTTCAAGTACTGGTCTAAAAATTGTTATCGACCAATCATTTTCTTAATTAGATTATTTTCTATTCTATAAGCTAGTCCAATATATATGTATGTTGCCCTTTAAAAAATAAAGGTAAGAAAGGGATAAGGGTGAACCTAAAAAGTATTTAACCACTACTCAAAAAAAAAACATTTTTGAGATTACTATTATTTTAGGATAAAATTAGTGGACAATGACAAATCAATTACTCTGCTAATACTAATACAATACCCTAATGTTATTAACAATTTTGTGTAATATATTCATACAATTTTTATTTTTAATTTTTATAAATTTATTAAGTTTCAAACTTTAATAAAACTAATATTTTTAAATTTTAATAAAAAAGTTTAAAAAGTTTATTGGAGTGTATGACCAATTTTAAGCAGCTTTTGCAAATTGAATGTGTATAAACGATGCGTAGATCATTAATGAGAAGAGGATGGGATAAAAACACAAACCCCCTTCCCAATATTTTTAATTTAGTTTGATTCCATAAAAAAATATTTTATAATAGATGATTATACACGCAACACATTTAATTTTTTTATAATATTTAATTTGTTTTTGAAAGGCAGGGGTTGGTTACGTCTATGATTTGCTAGGATTATTAAAACTTTAAAGATGTTGAATTCATTTTTTTTGCCATGACGTCCGAGGGTGCCAAAAATATTTTTTTAAACATATAAATACGAGACAAGTTTTTTTTAAAAACCTTCATCAAATCCATCCATGTATTTTAAGTACTTGAACAAATATAAAATTAGTATTTATTTATTACAAAATTTTTACAAAGAAAAAGAAACAAAAAAAAAAAAAATTCACTGAAGAGAATAAAATAAGTCATACTAGAATTAGAATAGAGTCAATTTATTAGGATTATAATTTACAATTGTTGTTTTTAGAGTCGGTGCCAGTCCAGGTTCACAAACATGTATTAATGAAGTAGCTTGTACGAATGGATTACATTTAATATTATAATCGACAACAAAACAGCAGACGCGGTACAGAATAGTACAGTAAGGAGCACATCAATTTATTTTAGTGTAGATAATGAGGAATAGTAGTAGTTATGATTTCAGCACTGTTATTTCCCAATAGTAATTAATAGCTGCTAATCAAAACTATTAATAGCAGTGACTGCTAGTTTTATTTATCAATATTATTACTTTTTTGACCATATTGTTAACTGCCACAAATTACTAGATTAGATTTAAAGTTTTTTTAATTCAATTGACTATTAGAACGACTATTATTATTTATTAACATCATCAAACAATAACGATATATTCGTCATGCTGGCACAAATACTATTATACATTTTTAAATATATTTTTTAAATATTCGATAATTCCAAAAAATCTAATTTTTGTACAGTTTTTCTTTTGTCATCTTAAAGTATATTGTATTAACTATAATTTAATGTAGGTTTAAAAAAGACAGGTTTTTTAAAACATTTTCAAAAATTGAAAAGAAAAAAATTTGTTATGATGATTTTATCCCTCTTCCAAGTATTTTGTTTAATGATAGGATTTTCAAATAACACATGTGAAAATTTAGAAAAGCATTTTATAAAACAGGATTTATTTTTAGATTCATGTATCATTTAAATAAATACGTTTTGTGATGTTTTGATGTATAATCGAGCAAAATTGATCCAGTAGAAGAGGAGTAATTTCTTACATGGACATACAAAAAAATTAATTTATAATAGCAGAGGAGTATAACCAATAGCCTCTAAGCTCGCATCGAAGCTAATAATTATAAAAATTAACAGTTTTATAATTTCTTTAGATAGGTGCTGTTTTTTACTACTACTTCAATACATAAAAAGCAAAAGAAGATGCTTCTAAAATAAATAATATTTTATCACCAATATATTCGAAAATTTTGATTCCAACAGTCAACGATGTCTGCCACCCATGTTTACGAACGTTCGGATCGCTATTCAACTAAGTTACCCTTCCACCATCTCGATATATGCCTGCTATTGTGCGCCGTGCTGTTCAACAACAAACGTTTCCTGTCTTGTTGTTGATTATAAAATACGTTTGTTTACCTTGATTGGTACCAACTTCGACTTTAAAAATGTATATTATTATTCTTATAAATTGATTTTATTCTAATTATAGTCTGATTTATTTTATTCTTTTTAGTGAATTTTTTCATAACAGATTTATTGGTCGGTATTTTTCTTTGTACAAATTTTTTTATTTTTTAGTGTATATTTTTAATTATTAAGTATTATTTGATAATGAAAATATGGAAGATAGTTAGTTCATTTGGGTTTATTTTAGTACCCCTGGTCACAGGAAAGCAATTTAAAACGCAATTGCGTTTACTTGATGACATATTTTTCAGTTACTTTGATTTAAAATCTACTGAACCGATTTTAATAAAATTTCTATGGGACTAATTAAAAACTAGGTCCTTTTAAATAAAAAAAGATTTTTAGAAACCGATTTATAAATGGCGGAGTTCTAGGGTAAAAAATATAAAAAATACAACCAAATTCATAACCTCCTTTTTTTGAAGTCGGTTAAAAACAAAAAAAATATATGCTATATGAATACTAAAGTATTCAATCCGGATTCCGCCCGAGTAGCATTATATTGGTTTACGGCCAGTTCAAGCGACCCACAAATGCTGAGACAATTCAGTGATTAATAAATAACCAATATTTTTTTATAAGTACTAGGGCATATCAAAGTTCAAAATAAAACCCTACGGTTCTATTATTGTTCAAGAATGCACTCGGTAACCTGGCTCTTAGTGTATGTACTGTTCATACGATCAATTTGTACCTATTATTTGATTTTATTTTAAGTACAATAGAATCATTACAATAGTAATAATAGTTTTGATACACTGTTATAATTATATATAATAATTTAACATTTAATTAGTAAATTAATAAAATAATAACATTTTAAATATAACAATGATCTAAGATGACTTTTTTGAGACTAGCGCGAATTCATTTGCAAAGTTTATAGAAGAATAACCAGACGTGCTGCTAACCATTGACCAACAATTCTAATACGCGCGTTTTTAATTGTGATATAATTTATTTGTAATATGTGTGTCATTCCCGCAAATTATTGAAAAATATTACAAATTTTATTAATGCTCCTTTTGAGAAATTGTCATTTTCTTAGCAACAAGAGAACTGATAAGATTTCTGCCTCTCTTGTCTCTTTACTGTTAATAATTTGTCTCATGTTTTACTTAAAAGTAAGTAATTTAATTATATTTTTAAAAGTATTACAGTATATTGAAATTTTAAGTAATTTTAGAATTAGCTCATATAAAAATAAAATAAATTTTAGTGAAATATGCTTTATGATAAAATTATTTAAAGAACGTAAAAGAGACATAGTCCAACATATAGACAATAGAATAATTTAATTTAATTTCAATTAAAATAGTTATGTTAAAATTTTTTATTAAATATCCACAATAATCGTAACATTCTTTAATTAAATATATTACTTTTATAATATTACTTATAATGTTACTGGACAATATTGACAATAAAGAAATGTTTTATTGGATTTGAAAGTTTGATAATACAATAATAAGGTGGCCTTAAAAATAAATGTATCACAAAGTGAGGCATCAATAATACATAAGTACTATATTCAGATAATTTCTTTAGAAACCTAGGATTACGATCATGATTTTGCTACAAATAATAAATTAAAATAATTAAAAATTTCAAATTATTTTTCTTATAAGGAAGAATGGAATGGTTATGAATAGAAATAAAACTAAGTTTTTATACTTTGAATAAATAACACATAAAATATAAGGATTTTTAACAACGGTAACAGCTTTACACATTATAATAAAATTTACATGAAAAATATGTTAAATGGTAACCTATGAACTTTAAATTATATTTTTTTTAAATAAAATTAATCCTAGGGTACACTTAAAACTGAGGAGTAGATATTAAAATAATCGTGTTAACTTTAAAGTGTATAAAATAAATCAACTTGTTCACGTTTTCTTTGTTTATAGCAAAAAAGTTTTGTTTATGTTGGTGTTGATTATATTTTTTATTTATATTAATGGAAAATCATAAATTTAAATTAATTTCTCATTAGATTAGTTCGAATTTAGTCCTTATTATATTTTGTAGAACATTGATTATATGTACTTGATGATGAAATAGAAAAAATTGATATCGTCATTTTGAGCATTCTATATAATGAAGAACAAGATTATTAGTATACATTTTCCAAACAATCCAAAAACGTAAACATTACCCAAAATCACAGATATTATGCACACACAATTAGTTTTATATCAACTATGGTAAATAAAAATGAATATTAGTAGACAACCACCCATTGTACATTTAAAAAGTAACATTTTAGATTTAATGTTTTATTTGTTTAAATAACAATTTCTGTATAAGACAAAAAAGGCTTTGTAAAAAAAAGTGAAAAAACAAATGGCCACCGAGTATTTAAAAAATGCCCATTATGAGTTACTCCAAAATATTAGTGAAAATGATTCTACAGATTATGGCCAAATTCATGATGATTTATTTAGCTTTTTTATGGGTACCCAATATGTGCTTCAAAAAAAATTAAAAGTTAGTGATGAACTTGACAGATTTTCGGGTACATCTACAGAAAAAAAAAATAGAATGTTTATATAATTTACCCACAATTAAAAAAGTAAGGTTAATTGGATACTTAAAATAAATATAAGTAGTATAATTTTACTAAATATTTTTAATTTGTTTTCAGTTTTTCATTAAATACAACAATCCTCTATCAAGCAGTATATCAGTTGAGAGTTTTTAGTGTTGGTGGTGCTACTTTGACTAAAAAAAGGACTGACTTATCTGATAAACATTTTAAATAAATAATATTTTTAAATGCAGCCAATCAATTTTCTATTAAAAAAAATAACTTCAAATATCATTTTTTTTTTTTTTATTTAAAAATTATTTAAAATACATAATTTTTTATAGTACTTGGGTGGTAATTTAAATACTTTTTAAAACTATTTTTACAACACTGCATAATAAACTAATTTTTACATATTTAATATTTTAAAATAAAAATAAACCTTCGCATACAAAATTTCAATTGAATTTCATTAAACTTAACAAAAAATTTCTGAACATAACAAGTTATAAATAAAGTTGTCTATTTCGTAACAAATCCACACATTATTAGTTTTGAAATAATGCATGTTAAATGATCCCGCCTCTATTTTAATATTTTGGATATGTATCCAGCTATCACATAATAAATTCACTTGATCTTTAAAATTTCAAATACCATAAGTGTTTTTGAATTTAAATATTACGAGGCTAATTTTAGATGGATTGAATAGAATGTTTAGTTGATGTAATCTTATCAAAGATTTAAATAAAAAACAGGAACAATTAAAAAAAATTAATAAAAGTCATAGGTTAAAAAATCTATTAACTTAGCATCGACTATTTTTATAATGTATTTAGAATTTATAGTTAACATTTTATTTTTGTGAAAAACGTTTGGGGATGTTACATTCTCACTTCCTGTATGAAGTAGCCCCTGTTTATACACAGCACATTTTACCGGCACGCTGTCCATCTGTATTATTGATATACTACATGTTCAATTAGTACTCTGTATGATCTATAAAATAAAGTATACCTAAAATTTGAGGGTTAACTATATTACTTTATATATATGTATAAAAATACATCTGTATAAAATATATATTTTAGCTTCGATGCGAAGCTGAGAAGGTATTGGTTTTACTAAGATGTGTTTTTTTTTTTTTTTTTTTTTTTTTTGTTTCCCCT